AAGGGGGGGAGGGGGTGGTCCTAACCCCCCCCTTCCCATGGGGAGATCCAGCGGCGCACCCTCCGAAAGTAGTTGCGTGCCATGGATTGGGCCGCAGTTTGCACCGCAACCACTACATCCTATACATTCTCCTGTCGACGAAAAGAAACAGGATCTAGCGCCCTTTTGGGGCTGGAGTTATCCGCACCCCGCAGGGATGTGCAGTTTACATGTGATTTTGCTTCATGACTCATGCAAGACATCGATTCAACCATCCCAGCCAGGCCAGTATCGACCCCCCCACCTCCACAAACATACGCGCGCATGATTCATCATCTCACAAGATCCGCTTTCAAGAGCCCCTTGCAAGACATGCTTACCTGTGATTCTGCCTCATCATTCATGCAAGATGTCGGTACAACCATCCCAAACAGGCCGGTATCGACCCCCCCACCTCGTCCTTGACCAAGAAATAATGCGCGCGTGATTCATCATCTCGAACGATTCGTTTTCAAGGGCCCCTTGCAAAACATGGGACGAAGTGCGCACGCGCGCGTCGTCGCGCGCTCATCCCGAAATCCTTCAAACATATGAGGTTTCGTGAGGATTTCGAACTCGAGCGTCCTGGAAACATTAAACCACAGCCAATGGTATCGCAACAAAAATGTTCAAGAAAGTTGGTTTTCGCTCTCTTTGCGAATTCTTCAACTATTATCCGGGCGACGTGGCCAGCCATATGCAGTTGTGAGTACCGCCGCTGTGAGAACCGCCTTCGGTGGAGCGGCCTGCGGGTGCTGCTGTTCCTGATGATGATGATGATGATGCTGATGATGATGTTGAGGTTGATGCGAATGATGGCGATCATGATAATGACAAGATGGTAGTGCTGGCGATGGTGATGATGATGCTGATGATGATGATGTTGCTGCTGCTGATGATGATGCAGATGATGACGATGCTGATGATGATGACGATGATGATGCTGATGATGATTATGATGATGATGATGATGATGATGATGATGATGATGATGATGATGATGATGATGATGATGATGGTGATGATGATGATCATGATGATGGTGATGATGATCACGGTGATGCCGATGATGATGGTGACGAGGACATACAGGGGGGCAGGGGCAAGGAGGGGGAGGAGGGACGAGCGGGAGGAGGAGGAGCAGCAGGAGAGGAGAGGGATGCGGGGCGCTGTCTCTTCAGAACGAGGAGCCAACTCAACCTGAAATGGTTGGGAACAACCCATCGGTTCTCAACACGTTCATCAACTTCGACCAAACGTGCCCCACTCGCGCGCACGTCGAAATCATTCGAACGTCCTTGCGCGCGTGCTGTCGCAAGAGTCCCTGTCAAAACTTATCCTGGCGAAAGACCTAACCATATGCAGTTGTGAGTACCGCCGTTGTGAGAACCGCCTTCGGTGAAGCTCCCTACAGGGCCAGGAATCGCGTGAAGGGAACGCCGAACTGAGGCGGGGCCGCCATGCGGGCGTTCCCGCTGGGGGTCTGCAGGGGGCGCGGAGGTCCGACGAAACGGGTTACGTGCCGATTGAATTTGTTAAGGCTGACAGGCACTGGGAGAAACGGGAACAGGCTTGCGGGCGCATCCATTGAGGCCTTAGGTGGAGCTCCGTGTGGGGCCACGAAGCGTGTGAGGGGTGTGCCAAGGTAAGGGGGGGCAGCATTCGAACGCAGCCACGGGGGCCTTCAGTGGAGCTCCCTATTATAGGGCCGCGCAACGTGTGACGGGTTTGCCAAAGTGAGGGGGGGTGGCGGCATGCGAACGCAGCCATTGGGGCTTTCGGTGGAGCTCCTTATGGGGCCACAAAGCGTGCTAGGGGTGTGCCAAAGTGAGGGGGATGGCGGCATGCGGCTGCAGCCAGTTGGGCCTTCGGTGGAGCCCGTTTTGGGGCCACGAAGCGTGTGAGGGGTGTACCAAAGTGAGGAGGGTGGCGGCATGCGAACGCAGCCACTGGCGCCTTAGGTGGAGTTTTCCAGAGGGCCACGAAGCGTGCGAGGGATGTGCCAAATTAAGGGGGGTGGCGGCATGCGAACGCAGCCACTGGCGCCTTCGGTGGAGCTCCCCATGGGGCCACGAAACGTGTGAGTGGCGTGCCGAAGCAGACACCTGAAAGAGGAGGGGGTATGACGGCGATGGTGATGACGATGGTGATGGTAAGGAGATGTGGAGGGCAGACGCAAGGTTGGGAAGAAGGAGAAGCAGGAGGACGCGGGGACTGTCTCTTCAAACTAAGGACCAAACACCGCAGGATGGTGGGGGAAATTTGCTTGGCGAAGGACCCAACCATATGCAGTAGTGAGCACCGTCGTTGTATGCACCGCATCCGGAGAAGCTCCTTCGAGGGCCACGACACGTGTGAGGGGTGTGCCGGAATTTGTCTGGTGGGCGGATGCGGAAGCAGCCACTGGGGCCGTCGGTGGAATTCCGTATGGGGCCACGAAACGTGTGAGGGGTGTTCGGAAATGGGCGTGCGTTACGCATGCGGGGGATGGCACCGGGGACTTCGGTGGAGCTCCCTATGGGGCCACGAAACGCGTGAGAGGTGTGCCGAAATGGGTGCGGTGGGCGCATGCGAACGCAGCCACTGGCGCCTTCTGTAAAGCTCCCTGTGGGGCCACGAAACGTGTGAGGGATGTGCCGGAAGGGGGGTGGGTGACGCATGCTGGCGGTGGCACTGGGGCCTTCGGTGGAGCTCCCTATGGGGCCACGAAGCGTGTGAGGGGTGTGCGAAATGGGCGTGCGTGACGCATGTGAACGCGGCCACTGGGGCTTTGGGTGGAGCTCCCTATGGGGCTACGAACCTTGTGAGGGGTGTGCCGAAATGGGCATGCGGTGGGCGGGGTGGGCGCATGTGAACGCGGCCACTAGGGCATTGGGTGGAGCTGCCTATGGGGCCACGAACCGTGTGAGGGGTGTGCCGAAATTGGCATGCAGTGGGCGGGGTGGACGCATGTGAACGCGGCCACTGGGGCATTGGGTGGAGCTGCCTATGGGGCCACGAACCGTGTGAGGGGTGTGCCGAAACGGGCATGCGGGCTGGGTGGGCGCATGTGAACTCGGCCACTGGGGCCTTGGGTGGAGCTGTCTATGGGGCCACGAAGCGCGCGAGGGGTGTGCCGAAACGGGCATGCGGTGGGCGGGGTGGGCGCATGTCAACGCGGCCACTGGCACTGGGGCCTTGGGTGGAGCTGTCTATGGGGCAACGAAACATGTGAGGGGTGTGCCGATATGGGCATGCGGTGGGCGGGGTGGACGCATGCGAACGCGGCCACTGGGGCCTTGGGTGGAGCTGTCTATGGGGCCACGAACCGTGTGGGGGTTGTGCCGACATGGGCATGCGGTGTGCGGGGTCAGACACACAGACACACAGGCAGACAGACACACAGACACACAGACACATAAGCACACAGACACACAGACACACAGACACACAGACACGGACCCCGACATAGACACAAACATAGACACAGACAGAGACCTACACCCAGACACAGACACAGGCACAGACGCAGACACTGACATAGAAACAGACACAGACAAAGACACATACACATACACATACACGTACACATACACATACGATACACATCCACATACACACGCACACACGCACATACACACGCGGGCACACACATACACACACACACCGCACACACATGTTTAAGCTGGCGGCGCAGCGAACAGCAGGTGGAAGTGCCATTTGCGATCGAACATCGTCAAAGGCATAGTGTGCAAAGCGTCGCACACTTCGTGTGCAGGATGTGTGGTGTGAAGGAGGAACTGCAAATCAAAGGGAACGTGGAGCGGCCAGAAAACCGCGGAGGCAACTCGTTTCGAAGTGTACTGAAGCGCGAGCAGTCACACATGCACACATACAGACACAAACATACATGTGAACCAATGGTTTCGCAACAAGAATGTTCAAAAAGCCTGCGCCCGCGCTCTTGCGAATTCTTAGGAAACCTCAGGTTGCTCCGCATTTTCATCGAGTGCTTGCAAGCGTGCCCCTCGCGCGCGCATGTCGAAATCAATCGAATGCCCTCGCGCACGTGTCGAGAGGGGGTACGATTCCTGCCACATCGTATCATGCGGACAACTCGCGCCCGTCGGCCGCGCACGCATGTCGAAATCTTTCCGACACCTTCATCACCGACGGGTGGACACCATCATCGTCATCGGCGTGATCAGCATCGGTGCCGTCGTTGCCCTTGCCGTCGTCATTGACATCGTGTCACCAGCATCGCTAGTATCATCATCGTGTCTGCCGTTGTCGATGTCGCCATGATATCGCGCCCGCCCTTGTCACCGACTCGCACTGATGTGCCCGCGCGTCAGCGCGGCTTCCGAAACGCGCCGGGATGCTCCCAGCGGTCAGCGCCAACGCGGCCGCGTCGGTCGCGCAAGACTAGCTGGTCGCTCTACGCGCGAGAGTGCGCGCTAGCGCGGCCGCAGAGATGCACCAACCAGCGCCAAACAGCCATCGCAATCGCCAACGCATGGCGCTTGCAAACCCAGTTGCGGGTGGATGGGTGGGGTGATTGCGCGAGCATTAGAGGCGGCCACTTGCGAGGAAGTCGAAGTCAACTGCGCCACAGAGTTGCACCACGTAAGTTGCACCACGCCACATCGGTTGCATGGCATTTATTGTGCCATGCCGGTTGCAACGCAGCGATTGCACCGTGCACGGGTTGCACCGAGACGGTTGCACGTCGAGAGTGCAAGGTCTTATTGTTTGGAGTCCACGCTGGCAAACGTGCGGTTTGAGTTTTCAGCTGTTTTTTTTTGGAACGGATAAACATGCTCTTCTTTGCGCCTAATCATCGGAGGGGCGAGTGGGGAAGGGGAGGGGACGTCACGGGAAACAGCTCCAGGATCCCAGGGGCAAACCTGGCTTGAACGCGAGGCATCAGCATGTTCAGGGAGCGAGGGGCGGGGGTGGATGTTTCTGGCTGCGGCTGCCCTCCCTGACATGAGCCGAGCCAGGCGTGGGAACCGCTGTTGGAGCCGCCCGTGCGCCGCGTTCACGACCTGGCATGCGGCAGCGGGGAAGCGTCGGTGGCATTCGGCTGCTGGCGGGGGTCTGCGGGTTGCGCTCTGGACGCGAGAGGGTGTGAACTCTTCTGACAAGACGGAATTGCCAATTGTGTGTGTTGTTGTGTCAGTGGGGGTCATTGTGGTGCAGAGGAATATGCCCGAGTGATAGGACAAGGCTTGACCCCGAATCTCGTTGGGTTCGTATGACGGAAACGTCGGACAATAGTAGTTTTTCTCCAGGGCCAGACCCATGAGTATTCGTTATTCCGTCCGCCGAGGCAAGTTAGATAGTTCATTGGCCATCAATCGGTTATAATATCTTGGTTTATTAGCCGAATCATTTAGGCATGTTTGCCAACGTGGACCCCGACGGGGGAATTTTCGCATTCCGGTGGGGGGAATTACGTGGTGGAAGTTCTGTGGTGGTGGTTTTGTGGTGGAAGTTATGTGGCAGAAGCTAAGTGCTGTGAGCTATATGTGGTCGCTCGCCCGCAGACGACAGGGCATCCTGGCGACGCTGCCACCCAAGCGGCGCCGGGCTGGAACGTGGCGAAGACGCTGCCACCCATGCGGCAACGGGGCGGCATTGAGCGGGAACGTGGCGCATCCTCGACGCTGCCACCCAAGATGCAACGGGCGGCAACGGGCCGGCAACGAGCGGCAACGGGCGGCATCGGGTGGGAACGTGGCGAATCCTCGACGCACCCACCCAATGCTTCAGTACGACATGTAAGACCTCCTGAGTGTAATCACTGTTTGGGGAATCGTCCGAAGCTCTCGCAGAATCCCATCGCGCGGCACCATGAATGCGACGCACATCCTATTTCAACGTGCTTCAGCTGGGCAGATGGTTCGTTGACGGCTTGGAGGAGGGCCAGGTTTAGGAGGAGAATTAGAAGTCGAAGGAGTGGTCGCAGCTTGGTGCCGTATAGCCCAGGCTGTGGACTGCGTTGACCTCGGCTTGACGGAAGAATAAACGAGGGTCTGGTGGCAGAGTTCGACCACAGCCGTTTTGCCATCCCCAGCGGAGGAGGGCGAGGAGGGATCGCGTTGGCCTGCAGCCGGGTGGCTGGGCGATGTGTGGGGCAGGAGAACACCGAGGCGCGGACATGAGACCCTGGGTCCCGGGAGGGGAAAGGGTGCAGGACCCTCGGCTCGAGTCGACGAGGATTGCGAGTCGTATCGAGGGGGGCGCCGGTCTCGAGAGCCCTGAGCCGAAGGGACGCCGCGCGGTTTCAATCCCATACACCTTCCTCTCACTCTTTCTTCTAGCCCCATCCCTGTTCTCGACCCATCATCTCTCCTTCCTCGCTCCCCTCCTCTTCACTGTTCCTCCTCCTGCTTCTACCCTGCCCTCCCCTCCCCTCTCCTCCATCCCCTCCCCTCTCTCGCTTCCTCCCTTCCCTCTATGCGCCCTTCCCTCCTCCCACCCTTTACAGAGGACGCCTCGGACCCGTACACGCACGCAGCGTTCGAGAACCGGCTGGGGCGACCCTGCCGACGTTGGAGTTTCGAAGACGTGGCTGCTGGGGTCCTCGAGGAGGACTTTGGGGTTGTTTATGCACAATATAAGCAGCTATTCATGTACACTAAAACGGGAGACCAGGCTGGGGTGGAGGCCCGGGGCCGCAACCTGGACCACAAATTTGGAGCCCGGCCCAGCCCGATCTCCAGGGGCCCGAAATCGCTTCCGAGAGGGGTCGGGCAGCCATCAAGGCGCCCCAAGAGGGCTCCGAGTTACCCCTCAAGACGGCTTCCAGGGGCCTCAGACGGCCTCACGCTCTCCCCCAAAAGGTCCGAATACGCTTCCCCAGCGCGGTCAAGAGGGCCGAAGAAGCCCAAGACGCTCCCAACGGCGGCCCAAAAGTTCCTGAGAGGGGTCAAACAGCCGTTCAGGCGGTCCTGAACCGCCCCCAGTCACCCCCCGACGACGTCCAGGGGCCCCAGACGGCTCTAGAGAGGCTCCAGACGCTCCAAGAGACGCTCAAGACTGCGAGTTCCAGAGGGCCTCAGGAGGCTCTCCAGGACAGCTGCGACAAGCAAACAGCATTCGAACATTGTCGCCTTCCGACGGGAAACCAGTGTCTTCGTACATTCTCGCCAGGACCACTCCGACAAGCCAAACATCTTCGAACACCCATGGGAGATCGATGAGTTTGCCTTCTCACATTTTCGCCTCCGATGGGCTGCTGAGGCCTGAAGCTCGCTCCCAGGAGGCTCCAAGACGCCCCCCAAAAAGCACCCAAGAGGCCCCAAGAAGCCCCAAGACGCACCCAACGGGGGTCCAGAATCGCTCCGGAGAGGGCTCAGACAGCCGTCCAGGCGGCCCAGGACGGCCCCGAGTTACCCCAAGACGGACTCCAGGTGTCTCAGACGGCTCGAGAGAGGCCCCAGACGCCTCAAGAGAAGCTCAAGAAAGTCTCAGAGAGCCTCATGATATTATCCAGGATCATTCCCCGACAAGCCAACAGCATTCGAAACCACATGGGGAATACATGAATTTGGCCTTCTCGCCTTTTCGCCCCCGAATGGCTGCTGAGGCCTCAGGCTCGCCCCCAGGAGGCCCCAAGCCCCTAGAAGCCCCAATGCGCCCCCCACACAGGGGCCCAGAATCGCTTCCCAGAGGGGTCGACCCAGGACGGCCCCGAGTCACCCCCAAGACGGCCTCCAGGGGTCTCAGGCGGCTCCCGAGAGGCTCCAGACGCCTCAAGAGCCGCTCAAGACAGCCCCAGAGGGTCTCGGGCGACATTCCAGGACATGTCCGACACATGAAACACCTGCACGAACTACTCCGAGGAGAAGGATGAGGAAGACGAGCCTTAGAGAGCCTCCCAAGAGTGCTCCGGCCCCAGAGTTCCCAGAAGCCCCCTCAGGGCTTCACGTAGCGCCCAACGTTTTCCAAGATACCCTCCGAACGAGCCGCACCTGTGAACCTGCTTGGTGCCTCCTCCCCATGCCTGTTCGAAGCCCCCCCTGGAGGCGCATTCAGACCGTCGTGGAACCTGTCGAGCTTTCCCAGGCCGTCTCCGAGAGTTTCCAGCGGCTCACTCGGTGCACCAAGGAGCGCTCCAGGATCGTCCTCGGAGGTCCCCCAAAGAGAAACACTCGTGAACGCATGGTGTGCCTGGTTCCCTCGTCCTTTCTGGAGCATTCCTGGAGCTCAACTGTGAGCTCTTCCCCAATCCATTCCTGAGAGCTGTTGAAGGCTTACGTCCCCACGGAGAGCCCTGGCACGGTCTCAAGAAAGCCCCAAACAGATGGACATCCGTGAGACTCCTTTGTGTCTCTTCCATGCGCTCTGCGGGGGTTCTCCGGGGGCCCACTTCGGGGAGTCTGAGAGCCCTACGAGCTTGCCTGGGCCGTCTCCAAGCGCTCCCAGAGGTCCACTCAAACCCCAATGAGAGCGGCAGGACGGTTCCAAGAAGCCCCCAATCATAATCACATTCGTGAGCTTACGTTGTTCTTGTCTCCATTGCCCTCTTCGAGCCCTGCTAGGGCCCAAGTCGGACCGCCGTGGATCCTCTCGAGGCTCCCCTGCCCGCCTCGTACAGCGCTCGGAGGAAAACTAGGTCTACTCCTTCGGGCCGTGGAGAACCCTGTGGGCCACGATCCGTGTGCCTCGGGGGCTGTCATGGTGATATTTCGGTCGCTATAGGGCCGGCCGTCTTGGGGCCCTCTTGGCGCCGTCTTCTGGACCTCCTGGAGTAAAGTTTGTGGTGGCCGCCTTGAGGCTGTTGGAACCTCTTTGGCTGCTGGAGGTTCGAAAAAGCGAGAAAACGCAAACCGTTCAAACAGTGAACACACATTATTGAGTTGGCCTTCTTCAGGCTGTCCTGGAAAGCCTCGAGCCCCCTCCAGGCCATTTTCGCCGTCTTGGAGGCATACGGGGCGACCTTGGAGGTTTCTTGGGAACCTCGTGCCATCTTGGAGGCCACCTGTGACCGTCTTGGGCCGCCAGGGCCCGTCTTGAGGACCATCTTTGGCCATGGTGGCTGGGTTGGAGGCGAGTTGTCTTAATGTTGGGTGCTGTGTGCGGTGGCGGCCGACAAGCCGAGAGCCACATATATAATCGTTTGGAAGGGCCAGCCGTGTTGTAAAATTTGGCAGGCCGCGCACCCCTCTTGCAAGCAACAGGGGGCGACGAATCGAAGACGCCTACGACGAGTCGCCGCCGTCCCCTGCATTTTTGGAAATCGGCTATGTTTCTGACCGTTGGGGAGAGTTTTGGCAAGTGTTTGGATTGCGTGTTCCCCCAGCCGTTGTAAAAGCCATTTGGGGAACATGGGATGGCCTCTGTCTAGGGGACCCCCCCAGGGTACCCCCGGGCCTCTTGGGAGCCTCTTGAGGACCCCTTGGGGGCCTATGGGGGCGCCTGCTGAGCCTCTTGAGCCGTTTTGGGACCATCTTGGAGCTTCTAGGGGCTTCCTTGGGTCGTCCTCAAGCCATCTTGGGGCTGTGAATGGCAGAGCGCGCCCTCCTGGGAGGTGAGGGTGGCCCATGGATTGCTCGAAGAGGAAGATAAAATGCAACAGGACTTCAAAACAGACCACGTGGAGCGTTGGAAGGCCAACGGTGTCCCCCAGAAGTCCCAAGGGGGGCCCAAGGCGTCCCCGGACGGCTCCCAGACGCCCAACAAGCCCTCACGACTTCCATAGGGAGTTTCAAAAGGAGCTTGCTAGAATCTAAGCGCGCGAAGCACGAACGTGGTTATAGTCTGTATACGTACACGCATCATAACAAACATACACATACGTTACATAGGGCGTGTGTGCGTACACACCTATAACCATACATACACACAGACAGGGAGATAACGAGAGCGACCCTCAAACCAAATTCCCACGTGACGACGCAGTTTCTGAACCCGCGGCGGGGCGCCGCTAGACTGGCCGACTGGCCCTCCGCAACTTTCCCTGGACCCAGCGACAGTTTTGCAGATCGCAGCCCCACAGGGACGGGGAGGTCCCGCTCAGGTCCGCGCAGTGCTTCACTCCGCTGGACCCACCAGCAGCCCTCGAAAGTGACGACAGTTTCTGCGAAGAGATGCAGATTTTCGTCAAGACCTTTACGGGGAAGACGATCACCCTCGATGTGGTGGCCAGCTGCACTATCGCCAAGATGAAGACGATGATCCAGGACAGCCAGGACATCCCTTCAGGGCAGCAGCGGCTGCTTTACTCTGGGAGGCAACTGGGGGATGCTCAAAACATACTCGACCACAACATTCAGCATCACGCCATGCTCTACTTGACGCTCCGCCTCGACGGCGGCATGGACGCTACGCAGCCGCATGGCGACGACGACGACGACATGACCGAGCAGGACGACGACGGCATGAACGGCACGGGTCTGTCCCAGCCGCTGGCGGATCTTTCGCTACCTGGGGCTGCTGCTGCTGCCACACCTCCTGGACTCGTCGACACCCCCAGGAGGACAGCTCAGCAGATGACCACGGACGCGGAGATGGCCGCCCCCAGCAACACTCTGTTACAGGATTTCTTGGACTCCGAGGTGTTAGAGCATTTTGATCTCATCCAAGCGGCTTGTCCCGATAATCCTGAAGACAATGCCGTCTCCATCGACCTCCCCACCACTTGGCTGGAGTTGCAGACGGTGCTACGAAAGCTGGCCTACGACCCCGCTACGGTCGACCCGTGGCGGCGCCTGGGCCTTGCAATGTTCGCCGGGGAGGATCCCACCGCCACCATTATTGCGGCACGGGAGCGTACGGCATTATTGTTGGGTGGTCTCTCGGAACATGCATCTTGGACACCCGCTGATAGGGCAGCGGCTGCTGCCTTCATGCAGCGCGCCTCTGAGGCAGCGCGGCATTGTGAGGCAGAACTTCCTGATCTTCTCCGGCAGCGTCGGAAGATGAAGATGAGCAAGCTCCCCCTCTTCAAGGAGTTGGGGAAGGAGGCCATGGAGATCATCCGGGCCCTGCCGCTGACCCCCGACACGGTCATCCTCACCCAGTGGTCCAACGTGTTGCAGGAGCCGACCGTCACTGAGAGCATCATCGAGGACTCCCGCGGCATCGCTACGTTGGCCGAGAAAGGGGATCCCAAGCTGTGCGAGTGGTGCCGTGGGAAGCGAGTCGTCATATGGGCTCCTGCGGATACGAATGCTCTCACTCGTTGTGTGGCTGCCCTGGTACGTCTCGCTCCTGAGGCCCCGCCATTATCGTGCATCATGCTGGCTCCGATCAGGCTCCTGCCAGGGATGCACACCATCGAGGCGGTTACTAATCTATGGTGGCACCCGCTCCTGGCCGAGACGTGGGCCTCTGTAGTGCGCAAGTGCATTTTCTCTCCGACGCCGTTGGAGATTGTTGACACGGGGCCCGTCGGCCCCAGGATTACCCGGTCGGGGTTGGCAATCTTTCACCGTAGTCATGATGGCCCCCGTGCAGCCCCACACATTCATCTTCCGAAATCCCCTCTGCTACAACTCCCCTCGGTCAACATGGCAACGGTCGACTTGCAGGTGGACCACCTCCCGAGACTCTTCGGGGTCTTGGCAGGTAACGGCTTCGACGGCATT